GAAAGAGAAAGAGGATACAAATGTTTACAAAGTAACAAGGGAAAGCAAGGAGGACATCAACCTTACAGCCAATCAAACAGCATGTGGGCTGCAGAAGCCATCAGAATAAGGAATAAACTTGGGACTGAATTATAATGAAGGATTTCAATCCAAAATTTGTAAAAATACATCAAAAGCAAAACCCAGAGGGAAATACCCATTAAAGAAAAGCAAAGTTTAACTGAATGAAGCAAGGATCATATTTAGAAATATAACAGAAGCCCGGAGATAGCTCAAAGGGTGAGAGCACATGCTTTGCAGACTGGAGCCTCAGGCTGAATCCCAACACCATATGGTCCCCCGAGATGGCTGGAAGTAACCCCCGAGCACTGCAGAGAAACTGAAATCAGGTAGATTGAGCTCTTTGGAGGGGGAGGTTCCTAAGAATTGGCTCCCGAGATAACAGGCAACTGCCTATAACTGCTGCCTACAAGCAGGAATGCTGGTGATGGGGGTGGGATCTAGTCTGAGGAGGAAGGCCCAAGATGAGGGCAACTGGAGTTCCAAGTCCAGATCTGAGCCTGGGATCAAGAGGGCTGGTATATCACGCGGGGAGACATAGCTGTCTCAGTTTCAGCGGAGTGAGAACCAAGTCTTACTTCCTCCTCTTTCTGTTTTTACCTGTCTCCAAGTACTAGGTGATTCCTGCCCCCACACCCCCCCCCCCAACACATACACCCCTTTCATCTTTGGGCAGGACATCTACTTGACTCGGTTCCCCTACGCAGACTCCTTTGGAAACATCTTCAGACACACCCTGGCCATAATAAAGGTTTTGTTTTGTTTTTTGCTTTTTGGGCTAGAGCGATAGCACAGTGGGTAGGGCATTTGCCTTGCACGTGGCCGACCTGGGTTCGATTCCTCCATCCCTCTTGGAGAGCCCGGAAAGCTACCGAGAGTATCCCACCTGCACGGCAGAGCCTGGCAAGCTCCCTGTGGTGTATTCCATATGCCAAAAACAGTAACAAGTCTCACAATGGAGACATTACTATTGCCCACTCAAGCAAATCAATGAACAACAGGACAACAGTGCTATAGTGCAGTGCTTTTTGGGTCACACCCGGAGATGCTCAGGGGTTACTCCTGGCTCTGCACTCAGGAATCACTCCTGGCAGTGCTCAGGGCACCACATGGGAATTGAACCTTGGCCGCATGCAAAGCAAACGCCCTACCCGCTGTACTATTGCTCCAGCCCCTGACCATAATAAAGTTTTACCTGCTTTATCTCTGGGCATCCTCCAAATCAGTTACATTGACATATAAAATAAACCCTCACCAGAGCACACCAGTACTGGGAGCAACAGGATGGAAGTTTCTAGAACTGACAAGAAGTATGAATTCCACAAGTCAGAAAATGAAATCTCCGGCAGGATAAATTGAAAACCCTTGTCATGGAAGAGCAGAACACCAGGCCACAAAAGAATTGGGAGGTACAGAGGGACTCCCTCTAGATTCTCAGCCAACTGAGAATCACTTCTGGCAGTGCTCGGGGCACCACATAAGAATTGGACCTCAAATCGAACAGTTCAGCTCTAAGGCTTAACCAGAGAAGCTATTGGGGCCTGTGGGGCTGGGGAAGGTGGGTAGGTGGGTGTCATCTTAGCCCACCCCTCCCCCCTTGCTTTGGGAAGAGTCACACCCAGGGAGATAAGGATCTAATCCCAGGCTAGGGACTCTCTCTCTCCTACCTCTCCCACCTTTTTTTTTTTTTTTTTTTTTTTTAGTTTTAAACGGCCTGAACGAAGGTACCAGCAGATAGGCCACAGCCAGGAGTAATTCCTGGGTGCAGAACCAGGAGTAAGCCCTGAGCATCTTCACCGAGTGTGACCCCAGAACAAAACAAACCAAAAACACACATCTTCTTTAAAAAACGTGAACTAGAGTAACTGATTCAGACTCATGATACAGATCAACAGATTTGAGCAGCAGTGAGCAGTACTGAGGTTATCAAATTTTATGATAAATTTAGTAAATAGGTTTTAAGAATAAACCCAGTATTTGGATTATTTGTAATACACTCCTAAGAAAATGAGACTGCTCAATTCATGAAAGGCAATTAAGAGAATTTAAGTGACCAAAAAAAAAAAGTGGGGAAGCTTTTTTAATTTAGTGTTCTTTTAAAACCAGCTATAACAAGTACTATTTAAGGTTGGCCAGATTTGGGGTGTATAACTCTAGTATTATTGAAGCAATAGCAATTTCAAAACAGTTCCTAGTTCCGCAAAGGCCGCGGAGAGGCGTCCGTTGGGCCCATTCAACAGGGTGAGCAACCAGCACGTGGCCGGCAAGCCGGGCCGGGGGCCTGCGGGGACGCGGGAGGGGAAAGCGGCAGGCAGAGACCGCGTTTCTCTACTGCCCACTACCTTCATTTCCAAATAATCAGCTATAAAAATGCTGCGTAACCCCCTGAAGCCACCTTTTAGGGGGAGCGCGATTCCCGCAGGGCCGCGCCGCCCTTCCGATCGGTCACCGCGAAGGCGGAAGGAGTGGGAGGCGAGTGACCCTCGGGGTCCTGGGCAGCGTGGGTTGCAAGGCCGGCGACCGAGGCCGGGGTCCTGGAGACGTAGGATGCGGGGAGAGAAGATCTGGGCCCGCAGGAAGCGGCGTGAGCGCTGCGGGGTCCAGCCTAAGTCCCCTCCCTGCAACTGCACGTGGCCAAGCTCCGCGATCCAGCGGTGCCAGGATGAAAACACGCAGGCTGGACGACTGATTCCTCGGTAACACGCCTACGCCCGCCCGTCCCGGGCCCGCAGATCCCGCAGCGCCCCGCAGGGTCCCCTGCGCGCGCGCGCGCGCGCACGCAGCAACCTAGGCCGGAACAGGCCGGCGCAGCCCGCTCTCCGGGCGCCACCACCCGCCGCCGCCACCGACCGGCTCCCCCCGCGGCTGCGCGGAGTGGTACCGTCCCCGGCTTCTGATTGGTCTACGGCACCGCGCCCGGCTTCTGATTGGTCGGCGGTGCGGCGGAGGCGCGGCCTTCGGGGTTCTGTGCCGCGCGCCGGAGGGTCTGCGCCGCATTGCGAGCCGGGCCGACAGCGGGCGCCATGGTAAGGAGAGGTGCGGGCGGTGGGGGGGGAGGGAAGTGAGGGGCGACCCAGGCCGCGTTTTGAGCTTGGGGTTCGGGCCTGCGCGAGCCGGGGCGCAGGCCGGAACCCGGGCGGGGCCGTGCCTCTGCGCGGAGCTGCGTCTGATGCCCGCGCGGCCGCCGCCGCCTTGCAGGTGCTGCTGCACGTGCTGTTCGAGCACGCGGTGGGCTACGCGCTGCTGGCGCTGAAGGAGGTGGAAGAGATCAGCCTGCTGCTGCCGCAGGTGGGTACGCCGCGGGGGGCTCCGGGCCGCGCGGCGGGCCCCGGCCGGCCCCGGCATGCACCGCGCGCTCCCACGTGGCCGCCGCGCGCGGTCCAGACGCGCGGGGGTCGGGCGGGGCGGGGGGTACGCGGGCCTCCATCCTTTGCACGCCTCCTCGCGACGGAGTCGGGAGCCGGGGCGCGTTTCCCAGGCGCCCGGTTAGTTCGGAATCGAGACCACCGTTGTTGGAGGGCGCCTCGGGCGACCAGCACCCGGAGGAGGCCCCCCACCGCACCTACTTCTCTGCCCCCCAGGTGGAGGAGTGCGTGCTCAACTTGGGCAAGTTCCACAACATCGTGCGTCTTGTGGCCTTTTGTCCATTTTCCTCGTCTCAGCTTGCCTTAGAAAATGCCAATGCTGTGTCTGAAGGTGAGTCCAGCGCCGCTGGGTATTTCGAGGCGGGGTTTGCGCGGAGGGGGGTGGGGGTGGGGGTTGTCCCTTTCTGCAGCTGAGTTGACCTGAATCTGTTGCGCATCTAGGAGTATCGGCCAGGCACCGGGTGTAAATTAAAATGGCTTTATAGATGTCAAGGTTTAGGCAGTGTGGGAGGTGAAATGTTCTTGAAGGCACACAGTGCACCGTGGGCAGAGTAGTGATGCATCGTTATTAGATGGGTGGCTGGTTTAATGCTAAGCACAATTAAATGAGGTTCTCTGCTTTGTTCGGTTAATGGGAAGGGGTGGTTCTGTTCCTTGAGGGCAAACAGGTTTGTGGTGTTGGTTGGCCTAAGGTCTGTTCTCCCCCTTGATAAGAGGCTTTGCAATGATGACTTGGATCTGTCAATCCCCTGAGTGCACTCATTGAAGTCAACCTGTCCCTGAGCAAAGCCTGGAGGGGGAGGGGCTAGGAATGCCATCCCAGCATGCTCTGCAGGGGCGCCAAGTAAGGGGGCGGAGTCTTTGGGATTCCATGCTAGTGGGAGCTCTCTTTGCCATAAGGGATCCTCCATGAGGACCTCCGCCTGCTGTTGGAGACTTACTTGCCATCCAAGAAGAAGAAGGTGCTCCTGGGGGTTGGAGACACCAAGATTGGTGCCGCTATACAGGAGGAGTTGGGGTTCAACTGCCAGACAGGAGGCGTCATCATGGAGATTATGCGAGGTGAGGTCATTGGCCTTCACCCCAGGCTTTGCATCTTGGGGGGAGTAGGGGGGCGTCCAGAAAATTACCTAAAAGTGTTTAAGGTTGCTGCTGCTGCTGCCCCCTTCTGCTTGGCTGGCATTTACGGGTGCCCAGAGGGAGCCCTTCCCTGCTCACTGGTTCTCCTGCCCTCCTGCAGGGATCCGCCTGCATTTCCACAACCTGGTGAATGGTCTGACGGATTTCTCTGCATGTAAAGCCCAGTTGGGGCTGGGGCACAGCTATTCTCGTGCCAAGGTTAAGTTTAATGTAAACCGGGTGGACAATATGATCATCCAGTCCATTAGTCTTCTGGACCAGCTGGACAAGGACATCAATACCTTCTCCATGCGTGTCAGGTAAGATGTGGGGTAGCCCCTGTGGATCTGGGTCATTAGCTTGGTGCTCTGGTTTGTTTGGAGCTCTTTTTGCCTTCAGAATCTGCCATCAGGGTTGGTTTGGGGGGTGGAGGGGGTTAGCTGTAGGGTTGGGCTGGGCCTCCCAGTGCTTACCACAGGCTGTGTTCTCTACGCTGACTGTATAGAAAGAGGAGGCATAGTAATTCCACCCCATATACACCCCAGCCCAGGCCTTCTGCCTGGTCTGTATTGTGAATGGGGTAACATGGACTTGAGGATTGGAAATGGATCAGTTTGTTTCCTCTAGGCAAGGCCTGGGTGTGGGCGGATTCAGGCCGTAGCTTTTTTTTTTTCTCTTCCCCCGTTTGGACCAGGGAGTGACTGTGACTCTTCGCAGGGAATGGTACGGCTATCACTTCCCGGAGCTGGTGAAGATCGTCAACGACAACGCTACGTACTGCCGCATTGCACAGTTCATCGGGAACCGGCGGGAGCTGAGCGAGGAGAAACTGGAGAAGCTGGAGGAGCTGACGATGGATGGGGCCAAGGCCAGGGCCATTCTGGATGCCTCGCGGTCCTCCATGGGTCAGTGCAGACCCTGGTCTCTGGGCAGAGGCTCTGGGCATGGAGAGGGCTGACACCTGCATTCACACCGGTCTCTTTCTTAGGCATGGATATATCGGCTATCGACCTGATCAATATAGAGAGCTTCTCCAGCCGAGTGGTGTCTTTGTCAGAATACCGGCAGAGCCTGCACACCTACCTGCGGTCCAAGATGAGCCAAGTCGCCCCTAGTCTCTCCGCCCTAATTGGGGAAGCGGTACGTAAAGGGGGGGGGACCCCAGTATCCATTTGAGTTTGGCTTGGAGCAGAGGGTGGTGCTGTGGTTGGCAACTCTCCGTTCCAGCTCCTCCAACCCGCTCTTGAATCCCTCTTCAGGTTGGCGCGCGCCTCATTGCTCACGCTGGCAGTCTCACCAACCTGGCCAAGTACCCGGCGTCCACTGTGCAGATCCTTGGGGCTGAGAAGGCCCTGTTCAGGTACCGGTGGGGGCACCTGGCCCACACTCAGGTGCCACTTCTGGTGCCCAGTGCTTTGTTTGGGGGATCACGGTGATGGCTGACCAGGGCTCCCTGACCTATACAGGCCTCTGTTGTGGGGTGATGGGCCCGTCCTGGTGTCTGAGTGATTCCCAGGGCCCAGCGTTACTTCCAGGTCAGCGACATTGGGTGACTTCCGTCTGCCTCTGGGAGCTGTGGGTTGCTAGGGAGAGGCCCACCTCTGCCTGGGGCCGCCTCCCTTGGGAGGAGAGGGTTTGGGGGGCAGTTGTCTGGGATAACAGGGGGTGGGGGGTGGAAATTTCTGATCATAAAGTCTCTGCTGAATATTCTTCTCCCAGAGCCTTGAAGACAAGGGGTAACACTCCCAAATATGGACTCATTTTCCACTCTACTTTCATTGGTCGAGCAGCTGCCAAGAACAAGGGCCGCATCTCCCGATACCTGGCAAACAAATGCAGTATTGCCTCACGAATCGATTGCTTCTCTGGTATGGGTAGTGAGGCGTTGGCAGCTGTGGAAAGGGGCCTGGAGGGCGGGGAGGAGCTTCTACAATGATGTCAGTATTTTTCGTCAACAGCAGTTCACCTAGTGAGTGGTGACACTCTGGGTCTGAGTGAAGCTTGAGGGGGATACTGGTGCTGTGGGGGGGTCATTTGCCCCCTAGGGGCTGGGGGCTGACAGGTTTTGTTTGCCCCGCACACACATGCATATCCAGAGGTGCCCACAAGTGTATTTGGGGAGAAGCTTCGAGAGCAAGTTGAGGAGCGGCTGTCCTTCTATGAGACGGGAGAGATTCCACGGAAGAATCTGGATGTCATGAAGGAGGCCATGGTTGAGGTCAGTGTGGAGGGCGCTTGGGTGGGATCACCCTAGCTGGCTGTTGGAGATGATGAGCTCTCTTTGGCCTGACCTTGTGGAGTGGAGGCACAAAAAAAACTGATTTAATGAGCCTGATCCGATGAAGCTGGAAAGAAGGCCTGGAGAACCTTCTCCCAGGCCCTTCAGAGCTTCTCCAGCACCTCTCTCTGGCCAGGCAGAGGAAGCGGCTGCAGAGATCGCCAGGAGGCTGGAGAAGGAGGAGAAGAAACGCTTGAAGAAGGAGAAGAAGCGCCTGGCTGCGGTCGCCCTGGCCTCTTCAGGGAACAGCAGCACACCCGAGACTGCCGAGGAGTGTGAGGTACAGTGCTGGGGGCAGTCAGCATGGCCCCAGGCGGGATTCCTGCAGCAGGACACAGGACGTGCCCAGCGCACTGTGCTCTCCAGTGCAGGCTTCCTTGGGTCCTGCTGTGAGGATGACCTGCAACAAACAATCTTCAAAACTACCTCTCGATCCTATAGGAAGGAATTAGGTGCTGAGAGACCTTGCTGAGAGCCCAGAGCTGGTTGTAGCACACACCCCTACCCTGGGCAAGTGTGCTTTGTCCTCTGCTGCCTCCCAGGAATCCTCAGCAGGAGTGTGAACTGCTCGGCCTGCTCTCTTGTGTCTAGAGGTGGTGGCATTGCACAGTGGGGCGGGGGGGGGGGGCGCTCCACTGCACGGTGGTGGAGTGATTTCCTTGTGGTCCACAGTGCCTGGCTCAACACTTCTGCATCCCCCTTTGCATAATTCAAACAAGATGGCTAGCTACATGGTGGGTTGTTCAGTAGTTCCAGGGCTTCATTGTGGGGGTCATCTCAGTGTATTTCCCAACTACATTCAGAGGCAAGACCTTCGCATTCACATCCTTACCAGTGTCCCGATTCCTTTCGCCTGGAATGGAGTGGGGGAGGGTTGTTTCTGTGTGTACAGTAGGTGACATGTCTCTGGCCCTTTGCCCCTGTAGGAACCCAGCGAACGGCCGAAAAAGAAGAAAAAGAAAAAAAATCGGGAGGTGCAGGAGGTGCCTCAGGAGAATGGCATGGAGGAGGAGGAAGAGGAGGAGCCTTCTGTCTCCTATAAGCCCAAGAAGAAAAAATCATTTTCCAAGGATGAGCATATTAATAGTGATGATCTTGAAGAGGCAACTTGCAGTACAAGTCTTCCCAAGAGGAAGAGGTCGCCGCCTAGCGATCAGGAAGAAGCCAGGGACAAGGCTGTTTCCAAGAAAAAGCGGAAATTCTCCTTCAAAGAGGAGCCGCTGAGCAGCAGTGGGCCAGAGGAAGCTGGCTGCAGCAGCAAGAGCGGCAGCGCCAAGAAAAAGAAAAAGTCGCAAAAAAAGCACCCCCAGGATGATTAAAGGACACATCCCCCCCCCCCCCCCCCCCCCCGCACTCCCTTGGGTGGCATGTGCTTTAAGTGCTGTTTCCCATCCCCCCAATAAAGACAAAAAGCTGCCTAGGATGTGATCAGTGTTTTTATTGGGCACCAGCTATGGGTATGGGTGGGGCCTATGAGTGGGGCAGGGCATCAATGACCGCCTCAGTGAAGTCGTGGCAGGTGGCATAGCCACCCATGTCAGAAGTTCGGACCTGTGGGGGAGAATTGCCATCATCCCAGAGGCCTAGGCCTAGGCCCTGTCCCTACCCCCCACCCCCCACCTGCTACTCAGGTCCCTGAGGAAGCCGGCCCCAGGACAACCTAGGCTGCCCAGGAGCGGCAGTGACTGGTCTGGCTATAGGCCTAAGGGCTTGCTTCTGGCTGGTCCACTGTACTGAAGGGATGTGGAGGTGGGATGGTCCTTGTTAGGTTGCAAGGAATAATGGGCTTAGCCCCCTTGGGGGTGCAGGTGGCCGATGACGGACTTGATGAAGTCGGTGGTGGTGCAGTAGCCGCCCATGTCTCGAGTCCGCACCTATAGCCACCAGCGGCAATGGCCGTGGGGGAGAAGAGAAGAGAGCCCATGAAGGGGGTGGGCAGGGCGCTGAGATGGAAGATGGAATCCAAGAGAGGGGGGACAAGATGGGAGATGCCATACAGCAGAGATGCAGGGAGGTGCCCATCCGCTCTTCTCTCCTGAGAGTCCCTATCTGAGCTAGGTGGCACGGCAGGCAGGATGGCTGAGAAGGAGGACAATGAAGACGGGCAAAGCAGACTGGTGATGAGATGCCTTGAATAGAGACAGACCCAGGAAGGAAAGAACAGAAGGCAGAACAAGGATGGGCCTCCAGGCGGAGCCAAGGGGGCGCCAGGGTCTCATCCTCTGCCCTACCTGCTCGTCCCTCGGCTGCTCCACTCGCCAGGCGCCCGGGCCTGCCCCCGCTCAGACCCACAGCACCAGGGCTGGAGGGTGGAGCAGGAAAGGGAGTAGCTGACGGGGACTAGAAAGCAGAGATGGACAGGCAGCCTGAGAGGGAGGGAAAGATCAGGGTAGGTGCAGCAGGTGTTGTGGGCGCCCGGTGGGGAAGGAGGCCCCATTCAGGTTCCCAGAGAAGAGCAGCGAGGCCCAGAGGAGTGCCAAGCCCTTCCAGACTTACCTTGCCGACTTTGATCACTTTCTTCACGGCGTCGGAAATCATGGTGGAGTGGTACTCGAGACTGCCAATGCAGACAGGAGGAGAGTCAGATGCCAGCCCTGTCTGCCCCCTCACGCCACCTCACCTCTGCCCTCAGCTGTGACCTACTTGAGGTGCCGGAGCATGTTGGAGGCGGAGAGCAGCATGGCTGTGGGGTTGGCGATATTCCTGCCCACCGCCTGGGCAAACGGGTGCCGGGCACCCTGTGGGGAGAGGGGCGGCAGTCAGGGCAGCGCCACAGGTGGGGAGCAGGCAAGGCAGTGTGCCGGAGGAGCCTGGGGAGGAGGAGGAGCGGCACAGGGTGGGACCACTCAGGAAGAGGGGGCCCTGGGAGGGAGCCCCACTCACCGTCTCGAAGACTGCGTACTCAGCGCTGTAGCTCTCACCGGGGACCACGCCGGCTCCCCCCACCAGGCCAGCAGCCAGATTGTCAATGATGTTCCCGTAGAGATTGGGCATCACAAGCACATCAAACTGGTAAGGGTTCTGCACCAGCTAGGGGGGACAAGACGGGGGCATGGAGCAGAGTCTCACCCCTCTCCTTCTCCGCCCCCCCTCCCCCCAGCACCACGGAGAGCGGCCCTGAAGCCGCCTCACCTGCATGCAGCAGTTATCTATGATCATTGTCTCAAACTTGATTTTGGGGTATAACTCAGCAATTTCCTTACAGCATTGCAGGAACAAGCCATCCCCGAGTTTCCTGTCCACGAACCAAAGGGAAGAGATTCAGCCGAGAGAGAGTGGACGGGGGGGATTTACTTTTCCGAGAACCTGCCGCCCAACGCCATGGCCTCACATGATGTTGGCCTTGTGGACAGCTGTGACCTTGCTCCGCCCCTTCTTGGTAGCATAGTCAAAGGCGAACTTGGCGATGCGCTGGGACTTGGCTCGAGTGACGATCTTCAAGCACTCAATCACACCCTTGGCGCTCTGCGGGGAGGAGAGAGAAGCCGCTGGAGGGCTGTGGGGAGAAGGGCAGCCCTCTGCTGCTCTCCCGGTCCCTGGGCCCTCACCTCGTGTTCCAGGGAGCTGTACTCGCCTTCCGTCTGTTCGCGAATGATCACCAGATCCAGATTGTTGTGCCGGGTCATGTACCCAGGAAGTGACTTCACGTGCACAACATTGGCAAACAAGTCCAATGTTCGCCTGGGAGGGGGGCAGAGTCATGGGCACAGTGCCTGCCCGCCCTCCAGTACCCCTTTCACCCACAGCCCCCACGTCACGTACCTCAGCCGCATATCATAGGAGGCCAGTTCCCCCTTGTATTCCATCGGGGTGTGGATCTTTCCTGCAATAAGTGTTGGGAGGAATATCAGGCACAGGCTCCCAAGGGAACCCAGATGGTAATCCCCACAGGGATATAAGGCAAGCCCAGCCCCATATCCCACTCTAAGCAGGGACCCAGGGGCTGGAACGACAGTACACTGGATAGGGCACTTACTGTGAGCACAGCTGAACGGTTTTGATCCCTGGTCCTAAATGATCCCCCCAAGTCCATCAGGAGGGATTCCTGAGCACAAAACTGGGTGTAGCCCCCCAAAAAATCAGGAATCCCTACTGCCTGGAGACAGAGCAGGCCAGAATCACTAGAGATAGGCATTACCCACATGCTAAAGTGAGGAAGAAAGGCAAACACTAGTTACAACCACAAACTATTCTGGTCACTGCTCTATTTTCCATCCATGATGTGGTAACTTCAAAATGCACTAAAAGAGCGACTGAAGATTTTTTTAATGTTATCTAAAAGTCTGGGTTGAACAATCAAAGAACAAAACCCAGGGGATCTATAACCTGTTTTAATGTTTCTGTCTGCTCATTTGACTTTTTTTTTTTTCAGCCAATACTTAGTAAATATCATATACCCATTACTAGAGACAACCACCAGAAAACTGTGATTCCTGCCCTAAAACAACAGTGCTTTGGGAGACAAATCACACAGAAGATGCAACTATTTGTGTAATTTTCAGTTTTTGTTTTGTTTTTGAGTCACACCCAGCAGCAGTGCTCAGGTCTGACTCCTGGCTCTGTGCTCAGGAATTGCTCCTGGTGGGGCTCAGGAGGTGTCAGGGATCAAACCCAGGATGGCCGTGTGCAAGACAAGTGCCTTACCCACTGGACTATCATAGCTCTGGCACAGCATGCGTGACTATCTTAAGAGAAGTATCAGCAGCACGTTTGGGAGCACAGAGAAAACACTCTCTTGGGGAAAATCGGTGTCCCAGAAGAGCCACCACTTCAGCCACACTTTAGTTAATTGTGTAAAGGAGGCAAAAAATGCCCCCAGGACCTAAAAAAATGACCTTATTGGGGATCAGAGAGAAAAAAGTATAGCAGGCTAGACTCGCCTTGCACACAGTCAACCAGGGTTCAATCGCCAGCATCCCTTATGATCGTGTGTGTGTGTGTGTGTGTTTGTGTGTGTGTGTGTGTCCATCTCTTCCCCTCTCCCCACTGCGTCCACCGACAGTGATTCCTAAATGGAGAGCCAGGAGTAAGCCCTGAGCGCCATTGAGCATAGCCCAAAAACAAGCAAAAATGACCTGATTTTGGAAAGTTGTGTATGCAAGAGGTACAGCAGTTTGAAGATCTTGAACTTACCCTGGAGTGGGATGGACCCTAAATACAATGACAAAAGTCTACACGAGAAAAGGCAAAAGTCTACACGAGAAAAGGAGAATCAGATGCAGAGACAGAGATAAAGGCTTATGAATATGGAGACAGAAATTGGAGTGGCACATCTCTAAGACAGAAGTCAGGCAGGGGTGGAAAGTCAGGCCTACTTCCTCCCCAAGCTTAAGGAGGGTGGACCTCCCCCCCCCCCCCCTTCACACACATACATCCCTTTAATTCACAGTCCTGGCCCCAGAACTGTAACAGCTCACACTTGTTACTGAAGGCAGCCCCTATGCCTGGAGAGCGGGCAGGTCAGAATCACTGGAGACAACCCTAGGGTACTAACTACACTGAGTGAGGTGGAATCTAACAGGGAGCGATGAAAGCAAAGGACATTCAAGGCAGAAGGACGAACATAAGCCAAGACAGTGCATGTGTTTAGAAACCATCAGATTCATGTGGCCCAAGCCCAGAAATGTTCCAGAGATGAAAGCAGAAAATCTGAAGGTCAATGCACAAAGAACTGACTTTCCTAAGCTAAGGACGGGCCTGAGAAAGTCGTGCCAGCTCCTTCCAAGACAAGAAGGACTGGGGCAGAGGGGACAGGTGCCTTGGGAACCGAATGAAACTGAGACACCCTATGAGAAGGGAAGGCAGAAGAAAAGCAGCTGCTAGGAGTGGCATTCTTAAGACACAAGAAAGACACAAGACCAGGTGACCTGGAGTGACTCCCAGGCCAGGCCTGGCACTCGCTCTGTCTCCCCGGGAGCCTGCAGAGTCAGCTGTCACACGACTCCTGGGCTCCCAAGGGGGGGTTTGTGTATCAGCAAGTCAGAGGGGAGCTTCATGGCCACGGGCCTGTTCGCCTGACTTTTTAAATGACATTGGCGGGAGGGGGTGGGGACGGGCACCCAGTCCATACACAGCACACACATACCAATAATGGCCACTTTGTTCTCCTTCATGGACTTCAGCACTTGGTCCAGCTTCTCCTCAGAGGCCATATTCTGCACCTCGCTCAGGTGGTACTCCTGGAACTCCACGGGGACACAGGCGGCCTGCGGGGGGCAGGTGCCCCGCGGGGCGGGGTGAGGGGGCGGGGAGCGGGAGCAGGCCCGCACCTGCCCGCCTGCCTGCCTGCCTGCCTCCCCCGGGGGGCTCACCTTGAACACCTCCTTGACGGCGTGCATCAGCTCGGGGCCCACGCCGTCGCCCGGCAGCATGGTCACGGGGAACGCGCCCTCCACCTTCACGTCCTCGGCCTGCGGGCGGGCCGGGGGCGCTGGAGCCGCGGCGGGGGCAGGGGCCGGGGGTGCGGGGAGGGATGCGGGGGGCAGCGCTCGGGCACGGGGCGCGGGGAGGGGTGCAGGGGGGGCGTGGGGAGGGGCGCGGGGGGCGCTCACCTGGCTCCGCGAGGCGGCCTGGGCCGCGGCCGACGTGCCCAGGCTCCTCCATGGCGCGGGGTTCGGGGCGGCCACCAGCGCCTGCGACCGACACGCGCGCCGTGAGGTCGGGCCCGGCCTCCCCGCCCGGCCCCGCCGCCCGCCCGCCGCGCCCGCCGCGCCCGCCCGTCGCGCTCACCCGGGTCAGCCAGCGGACACCGCAGAGAGCCGCCATGTCTCCACCGGAAGTCGCGTGGGCAATAACGCCGGAAGCCGGAGCCTCCCGGGACGCCGACTTCCGGCCGGAGGGGCGGGGCCGGGGCCCCTGCGCGCGCCTCCCGCTCTGGCCCCGCACCGTCCTCCCGGGGCCCCTCGGATGCTGACCAACCCCCAATTGGTCCACTACCCTTTTTTACTTTTCGGGGGAATTTTAGTGTTTTTTTTTTAAATTGAATCACCGTGAACTTTAAAGTTACAAAGATATTTAAGATTGAGTTTCAAGGCTTATCAACCCCTTCAACATCTATCAACACCTTCAACCCTATCAACACTAATCCCTTCATCAGGGATTGTCCGCTACCCTCCACCAATGTACCCAGAGGTGGAAGTTCTATTACAGAGATTTTCTAGCCTTGGGACTGTATACTCTGCAAACCAATGTGAAATCAATAAAGTCGGATTTAAAATGTCTTAGATTTCCCTATTTATTTGTTTGTTTATTTTTGGTTTTGACTGTCCGCTGCTCTCAGCCAGCCGACCGGGTAGTTAGATTGAAATTTAGGAATGACCGTAACAGTAACCTTGTATGGCTGAAACCCAATCATGAGCAACCTTGTAACTATGTAGCTCACTGTGATACAGTTGAAAAAAGTAGGAGAATTACCACAACGGGCGGGGAGAGTCAGGACAGCTGGTAGGGCTTTTGCTTTGCACGCGGCAGACCAGGGTTCTATCTAAGGCATCTCCTAGGGTCTGACCCAAGCGCCAGCAGGAGTGATCTATGAGTGCAGTGGGGGAGCGGGGAAGGAGGGTGATCTATGAGTGCAGAGCCGGGAGTAAACTGAACATCGCTAGTTGCAGCCCCGAAACAAAAAATAAAAGAAAAAAAATAATAACTGGATGTTTATGTTTGTCAAATGAAGACTCACGTTAAAGAACTAATTGAAGAGTAATAGGTAGGTAGGCACTTGTGTTCCAGGCGGCCCACCCAGGTTCCATCCCTGGCACCCCACATGGTCTCCGGAGCCCATCAAGAGTGATCCCGGAATTCAGAGCCAGGAGTAAAAAAAAACTCAGCACCACAGGAGTGGTCCAAAACCCAAAGATAAAATAACAATAACGGGAGGGGAGGGATAGGGCTCTTGTCTGGCATGCAGCCAACCCACCTTCCATCCCCTGCATCCCATGAGGTCCCCTGAGCCCGCCAGGAGTAAATCCTGAGCACCTCAGTGGCTGTGGCCCAAAAATTAAAAAACTGAACCAAGAAAAGAACTGAGATGGGGAATTGTCATTTTGTGATGCAAAGCCTGCCATGGTTCTAACCTCTCTCGCTATTCATCACTCAAGGCTTAAAGAACAAGGCACTTTCCATGGGAGGAGATATGGGTCTGGATTCTCCCAGCTTGCTAAGTTACTCTAACCAAGTTTCCTCCCTGTTGACTTTGATAGTTTTTCTCCCACACCATAATGCTTTTTCCCTTTCCCTCCCTCCCTTCCTCCCTCCCTTCCTCCCTTCCTTCTTTTCCTTCTTCTCTCTCCCTTTTTGTTGCCGCAGTGCTCCTGGTGACCATGCTTCCTTGTGAAGGGCAGGTCTGTGGATCCCATGCAGCAGGGGAGGACTCACACAGTGGTGGTGCCACAGCGTGTGATGAAACTGGCGGCCTCACACTTGCAAGGTACGCACTGGGCACTGAGCCATCACTCCACCCTAAAGTTCGTTTTCACAGCCCAAATGTTCAAGGACAGATGGATAAAGGAGTGGCCAGTCAGTACAGTGAGTTAGGAGCTTGCCTGGTATATGCTGGCTCAGGTTTGATCCCTGGCATCCAATATGGTCCCTTGAGCCCACCAGGAATGATCCCTGAGAGCAGATCAAGATTCCACCCTGAGTACTGCCAGGTGTGGCCCAAATATAAAATTTTTAAAATGTTTTAAAAATTGCATAAATTGTGGCCAGAAGGATAATACAGTGAGTCGGGCATTTGCCTCAAACATGGTTGACCTGGGTTTGGTCCCCAGCATCCCATTGCGGGCTCTGGAGCACCTCCATGAGTAATTCCTGAGTACAGAGCATCACAGAGTGTGGCCCAAAACCCTTAATCATCATCATCGTCAACATCATCATCATCACAATCATCCTGTTGTTCGTCAATTTCCTCGAACAGGCACCAGTAACGTCTCCTTCATTCTAGCCCTTGAGATTTTAGAAAGTGCCATATTCAAGGCTCTTTCAGGGTCAGGATAATGAGACCCATCATTGTTACTGTTTTTTGGCATATTGAGTATGCCACGCAATCCAATCCTTGGGTCTCTGGTGGTTGGTGGAAGCAGACAGGGCAGGGTGGGGCTCCTGGTTTTAATCCCTTTGTCACCTGTGGTTGGTGGGAGCAAGCAGAAGATCTCTGTCCTGGGGTCAGTTGAGCCTAGAGTCCAAGGTCTCAGAGTTCCGCTTATCCTGTTCTGTGGGGCTTCAGTCATGCGTGAGTCTCGGCCCGAGCGTCCGGAAAGCATCCTGGACCATGGCGGCGGCTGGGTAGTGGAGGAAGTGGAGGAAATCGAAAATCAGATGGGCTGGACACGTAATGAGATTTGGAGACGACCGCTGGACTAGAGCCATTACTGACTGGATTCCACGGAACGTCAAAAGATCGCGTGGTCACCCACCTACCAGATGGTCAGACTTCTTCATCAAGACCCTGAACGATCGGTTTGAGGCTCTTCATGTTCCTAGAATGAACAGACGCCATTGGGCTACACTAGCACATGACAGGGACAAATGGAAATGTTACTGGCACCCGCTCGAGCAAATCAATGATTAATGGGAAGTCAAGTGATAAGTGATCAAGTGAGTACGCCATGGGGAGTTTTCCAGACTCTGCCGTGTGGGCAGGATACTTTAGGTAGCCTGCTGGGTTCTCCAGGGTAAGAACTAGATAGTAAGATGTCCGGGAGCTGGATTTTATAGTCACTGGGTCTTGGCCGTTGATGGGATTACCTGGCGCCAGGGGCAGTTGGTGGGTATGACACCTACCCACTGGAAGATGGGGGATCTGGGTGGAGGAGGCCCAGTCTCGATCCAAGCAGGCTTGGCGATCTCAGCCCCGGGACCTGCATGCCTGTGTTCCTCTGCCAGTTCCTTCATGCATGTGGAGAGTGGTCTCAGCATGGCTGTGGCTGGTTCTGCGGGTCCCAGGGCTGAGATCTCCAAACCTGCTTGGATCGGGACTGGGCCTCCTCCACCCAGATCCCCCATCTTCCAGTAGGTGGGCATCACACCCACCAACTGCTCCCAGAGCCAGGTAATCCCATCAATGGCCAAGACCCAGAGACTATAAAACCCAGCTCCTGGAAGAGAACAGCGCAGTCTCCTGCCCCCGCGCCTGGCTGTTCTCAACGGGGCCCCTTGGACAGGGGCGAGTTGAGTTTTCCTCCCTGCCCTGAGCAGAGCCCCAGCAGATGAAGACCTCCAGAACCAGCCACAGCCATGCTGAGACCACTCTCCACACTCATGAAGGAACCAGCAGAGGAACCCAGGCATGCGGGTCCCGGGGCTGAGATCGCAAACCTGCTTGGTTCGGGACTGGGCCTCCTCCACCCAGATTCCCCATCTTCCAGTGGGTAGGCGTCATACCTAACCCTAACCCAACTGCCCCCAGCGCCAGGTAATTCTATCAATAGCCAAGAGATAATAATAATAATAATAATAATAATGGCATATATTGCAACTATATTGGATAATGCAATACTATGTAGCCATAGGAATAGATGAAATCAGAGAGCAAGAGATAGTGCAGTGGGTAAGGGTTTTGCCTTGTATGCCGCCAAGTCTGGTTCCACCATCTGCACCCTAAGTACCACCAGGAGTGATCTTTGAGCACAGAACCAGGAGTAAACCCTCAACCCCACTGGATGTGGTTCCAAAACTAAATAAATGGAATCTACAGTTTTCTACAATGCAGATGGAACTAGAGGATATTGTGTTAAGTAAAATACAAGGGAGAAAAAATACTAGATGAACTTACTCATCTGTGGAACATGGGAAACAAGTCAAGGGAATATTGAACAAAGGTATTGAACAATGACAAACCTTTGCTGCCTTGGATTAACAAAGTAGGGGCAGAATAAAAATAGGACTTAGAGGGGCCAGGGAGGTGATGGGCATTTTGATAACAGTGAGTGCATTTACTTATACATCAAGTCCATAAACTCTGACACTGTTCTAACCATGTTAACCTAAACCATAATAAAATTTCTAAATACATTTTTAATTAAAAAATTACAGTTTTCACTCAGTGATGTCTCAGATGACTGGTTCTCAAAGTTGATGTGAGACTGGAGTCACCTGAACAAAGTTAACAACAGAAGCCTGGACACCCCTCAGAAATGTGGATGTCATGGTATGGTTGGGGCCCCCAATCTTGTTGGAAGGAATTTTAGAAAGATATTAGGATTTTTCTGTTGTTGTTTATTTTTTGGGACCATATCTGGCTGTGCTCAGAGCTTACTCCTGACTCTGTGCTCAGAGATCACTCCTGGAGGGCTCAGCAAACCATACATGGTGCCAGAGATCAAATCCAGTGGCCCACAGGGTCAGAGAGATAGTACTGAGGCAGATGGAAGGGCATCTGCCTTGGCTTGTTGTTGGCCCAGATTCTATCTCTGGCATCCCACATGGTCCTCTGTGCACCAACAGAAATGATTACTGAGCACAGAGTCAGGGGTAATCCCTGAGCATCTCTAAGTGTGGTTCAAAAACAAATTTAAAAAACCCAACCGGGGACTGGAGCAGTAGCACAGCGGGTAGGGCATTTGCCTTGCACACAGCCAACCTAGGTTTTATTCCCAGCACCCTATATGGTCCCCCGAGCACCGCCAGGAGTAATTCCTGAGTGAATGAATAGGAGTAACTCTTGTGCATCGCCCAATCTTTTTGGGTGTGACCCCAAAAGAAAAATAAATAAATAAAAATGAAAAACCCAACTGTGTGCAACGCAAGTGCCTTATCTGATGAACTATCTGGCATCAACATTAGGAATTTTAAAAGCTCCCTATGTG